GGTACCGGATGCTCAAGAAGTTGGAGGCCACTGATCTAGATCCTCTTCATCCCAGGTTCTCTGCAGCTGCCACGCATCCACTGTCTTCACAATTTTCCCTAAGAAGGGAAGATTGGAGACTGGCAAAAACTACCCAACTCAGTTGGGTCAAGCAATGTCCTCTTAGGAAGGGGTGCACCATCTCTTTACCAGCTGGTAGGACCACTCCCTTTTTCAAGGTGTTAACTACCATCCAGACCCAATCCTGCACCCCTTCCTACAGCTTTAAGAAGACAGGAAGGATAGGGATCAGGTGATTGAACTAGCAGCTGAGAGGGCCTTGTTCACTTCTTTCAGGTTCCAGGGTTCAAACTCTTCCCATCTTCCCTTGCAAGATGTAGCCCCCATCATCTCCAGATTCTTCTTTAAAGCTGGAGTCCAATATGGAGTGAATATGATTTTATCTGTCAGATATGCAGCATACTCCTTACAGCGACCCTTTAGGTGAACTTTGGTGTTGGTCTGGATGGACTTGGTTATAGCAGTTTTGGTATATTATTCAAAGTGCTGAAGGATCAGTTTAAGGGCAGATTGTTAGGGCTTTGTATGCTAAAGCTAGTATTGTGATTTGCACTAAAAAAATGTATGAGTAATCCACTGAGGTTAGTTACTCTTGATATATTTGCATATTAAAATATACAAACATTATCCCAGGCTACAATAACCAGCTGCAAAAATGAACTCTTGCATTACTTATAAAAGAAATGTTTGTTCAACTGTGAACATCTACAACTGCTGAAAATATTCATAAACTACAGTATGTATGATTCTTCCAAAGCCCTTAAAACAACACCCTGCTTTTTCAAGAGCACCAAAAACTGGTAGCTGCATCCTCCATAATCTTATCCAATTACACTGCCAATAACTGCACCAATGATAGCTGAATCCAGGTATTAGCAAATACCGCCCACTGTTTGACAGGAAACACATAAAGATTATAGTATAAGTTATCAAACAACTTCTTTGCTTCCTACTTAGTTAAGCCCAGTCCCCATATAAATAATGGGTATCCATCTGTATCATTTAAGTGTGCAATTGTTCATACACAACACAAATATATGATTACTAAAAGACAGAAATGACAAATTTAAAAACTTTCAAATTGTAATGAAAAAGGAATGGCTTTAGGTATATTTAATTTTTAGTTTTAAAAAAGTGACAGGGAGAGATAATCCTTAAAAAGGCAGCAATTTCTGAACTGCCAAGATACTACTTTAAGATGACAGCAAAAGGAGTATTTCTCACACATTTGAACAACACAACAGTCACTTACTCTGAACATACAAGGGAATTTTATTGCTGTCTCCCTGCCAAGATAAGTATAGGCCTAGTCCATCAGTATTAGCTGGAATAGATACAAAAGATATTCTGAACTATTACTTAAGATCCTGAAATGTCAGATAATCTTGCATTACTGAGCTTATATTCTTAACTATTAAGTGTTACAGAACTAAAATCCTTCAGTTTTATAGGCTAAACCAAACTTTGAATTATGTCCAGAATATCATCATGGCAACACCATCAATTCCCAGTCAAGCCAAGGCAAGCCTATTATAATGAAAAGCTCATAACTCCTATTGTGGATCAGATGAGAAGGGTAAATATAGCACTTTGTATATCAGCAAATAAACATTTGTACAGTTTATTCCAGGGGTGGGCAATTAATTTCTCTCGGGGGCCACATGGGATCTTTGGTTGTTCGGGTTTTCTCCCGCGTAAGATTCGAAGTATCTAGGCAACGTTTCAATGAAGTCTCATTCATCATCTTCAGGCTTCTGTCTTCGGCTCTGTGCTTCTCAGAGTGATGTGAGATTGCAGCTGCTTCTTCCTTTTAACTGCTAGTGGGGGTGGGACTTGATTGGGTGGGGGCTTGGCTGTGTTCTGATTGGGTGGGGGGGTGTTCTCATTGGTAGGGGTTTTGGCTGTGTTCTGATTGGTTGGGGGGTTTTCGGGAGAAAACCCGAACAACCAAAGATCCACATACAAATACCCGCGAGAACCTCAGAGAAAATATATATATATATATAAAATATATATATATATATATATATTATAATATATATATATATATTATATATAAGAAAAAGTAACACCGCGGCTGCTCCTGCTACTACTTTCCACGCTTTCTAATCGCAAGTCCCAGGAGAGAACAAACAGCAAACCGCGCTCAGGGGCATCCAAGGCCACCTAAAGCTAGGCCGCTGCTGGTGGAGGCTTGCCCTGCCTTGGTGCCCCATTTCCCGGCTCGGCAGTCCTGCTTGGGCGGCACTTTAAAAGCCTTCCTCCTCGTGTACACGCCCGACGGGCAGCTCACTACGACGGTGGCTCCCGGCACCTGAGCAACTTCCCAGCAACTTGCGGCTTGCTTTTTCCTCTCAGGCGCTCACGCCTGGCCCCGAGCCGCGTGGCGGAGGGGAAGCCCAGAGCGCCGCCAGGTCGCCTCCTCCAAGCAGCCCGCCTGCCGGAACCCTTCCCGCTCCTCGGCGGGAAGACGCTCCCACCTGCAAACTTTGCCTTTGCAAAGCCTGGAAGCCCCGGAAACCTGAGCAACTTCCCAGCAACTTTCGGCTTGCTTTTTCCTCTCGGGGGCTTGCACCTGGCCCCAAGCCGCGTGACGGAGGGGAAGCCCGGAGCGCCGCCGGGTCGCCTCCTCCAAGCAGCCCGCCTGCCCTCCCCTTCGCCATGCGGCTCGGGGCCAGGCACAAGTGCCCGCGAGGAAAAAGGAAGCCGCAAGTTGCTGGGAAGTTGCTCGGGTGCTGGGAGCAGGCTTTTAAAGTGCCGCCCGAGCAGGACCGCCGAGCCGGGAAACGGGGCACCAAGGCAGGGCAAGGCTCTACCAGCAGCGGCCAAGCTTTAGGTGGCTCCAAGCAGCCCGCTCCAAGCAGCACGACCGCCCACTGGGTGGAACCCTTCCCGCTCCTTGGCAGGAAGACGCTCTTGCCTGCAAACTTTGCCTTTGCAAAGTTTAAGCCTGGAAGCCCCGGAAAAAAAGGGGGGATCGGCGGGGACTCACCTTCGGAGAGGTCGCACTCAAAGGTGATTTCGAACTCCCAGCCGAGGCCTTTGCAAAGTTCTTCTTTTCTTTCCTACCCCGAGAGCGCTCCGCACTGTTTTGCAGCTTTGGGGGCCTCGCGGCGCAGGGCAATATGCCACGCCCAGCGATTTTTTTTCAGGGGCGGGCCGGATAGGACAGACCAACGGGCCGGATGTGGCCCGCGGGCCGTAGTTTACCCACCCCTGGTTTATTCTATCTGTACTTCTTGTTTTAAATGTAGAAAAACTTTCTAAAAATAATGTGTATACTTGTTTTGGAAAAGCTAGCACAAAGGCTTTCAGAGACTATATTTTAAAAAATCCGAAAGTATCTCAGCCTCCGAGGCACTGGAGATAATAGAACTTATCCAATCCTTTAAAACTAAAGAACCTATTAGTTTTTATACATATTTGTTATCAATAAATAAATTTGGCATGCAGATGTTAAAGAAATGAGCGGAATAAAGAACTTGAGGTTCCTATATTACGGAAGAGTGTTTTGACCTCTATAGCAAATGCACTATGTCAATGCAGCTCAAATTACAATTTACACAACAAAAATATTTAGAATATCCAGTATTTGATTCCATTATGTTCATATAGAAAAACTGTAAAAACAGCATTTTTTGGATGTTTTTCTTTTAAAAAAATGTTTCTATACTTAATTTTGGGAGAAAATATTACATGATTATGCAACAAAAGCAAAATTTTTTGAAAATATAATATTCTTCTAAATTATATACCTAATTAATGGAATCTGACAATCAAACAATATAAATGGATTCTGTATCCTTATAACTAAAAGGTTGACATTGCAGCATTGTAAAGATAAAAGTATGGCTCCATTTACTGAATGGATTGAAGACCTGATTGCCCTTGCTACTTATGAGCATATGGCCTATACATGTAAATTTTGTATTGGCCAGTATAATGAATTATGGGACTCATTTATACAAAATACAGATTAAAAAAGAGCTGTATAAATATATTAGAAAAATATATATACTTGAACATTTGCATTCAATTCGTATATATAAACGTGTAACTATTTTTGTATTTTTCTTTGTTGTATTTGTTTCACTTTTTGCTAAAACACACTTTGTGTTTTTCTTTTGAAAATTTTTTATTAAAAAGCAAATAAAAAACCCATAAGAATGTGAACTAATGTACATATCTTTAATAGCTTAAAAGAGCAAAATAAAAGTTTGAATGATTATACTGAGATAACCCAGAATTCTCATTTGGCACAAATGACAAGGGTCAAATTATCCTATTTTAAACACATCATGCCTTTGCTCAGCACTCTGGAAAAGGCTGTAATGTTGGGGAAAATGGTAGGAAAAAGAAGAGGATGATCATTTTAGGAACATATTGAGATGGAGAAAATCTATGTAGAAGATAGTTGAAACTGATGGAACATAATATCAAATGACTTTCTTGTGGTAGTAGAACCAAAGATAAACTATATAGAATGAAGGTATTTTCCATTTTAAAAGTATTCATAGATTCTATAATTCCACAAAAGAGTATTTATTGTGAATAAGAGCTGCTAACCACTTTTATTTGCGTGTCAAGATTCACAGTTTGAGATAATGTACTTTCCTGGAATTAGAAAAAGCAAACGTTCAAAAATGTGTTACAGGCAGGTGTTGCATTTGTATTTCTTCATGTTTAGAAGCATCTTCTTCAACATGATTGTTCTTCCATTAAAATTCTTTCTGGGAACATATATTACATAAATGTAAATAATACAGATTTCTACATGTATAAGAAAACAGCTTATGCATGTGAAATGTCTTGTTAGCACTAGAAGTAAGGTTTTAAATAGATATTTGGATGGTATTGTATACTTCTGGAAATGGTCACTCTATTCATTTGAAACTGTCACTTTTTATACAATGTACAAAGGGCCAAGAATTCTTATTTTCCAAAATAACTCCAAAGGCATTAAACACAAGGAAAAATTAGCTGTTATTCAATCGTATTTTTATGAAATTTAACATGTATATAGAAACCTGTATATATTACCAATAATTACTCAGTCTCTATCAAAGGGGTTCTTGTACTATGCTGAATTCGCAGACTCATGAACTGCATTTCCTATACTTCTTTTCTCACTCAGTGTTTTAACAACAGATGTAGCTGGACTCTGAAGTACTTTTCGTGAAAGCCTCATTCTTCCATCAGTTGGATCACGTCCAAAGTACTTCACCTGTTCATAAAAGGAAATGAGATTGAGCTCAGGATGCAGCATGATTTATGTAGTTTAATTTTAGTGAAAAAAATAGTTGTTAATAAATTTATAATTTATTAATTAAAAATTAATAATTTTTAAAAAGAATGATGGAATTCTAAGTTAAAGTACTAATCTAATACTTTAAAGGATTGAAATTAATAAAACAAGTACAATTTAAGAATTAGAAATGTGGTGAAAGTAATGAATGATTTTCTAGCATTTAGAGTGGGATAATATTTTATAGCAAAAGTCTGTTGGCCTTGTGGTTAAGGCACTAGGCTAGAAAGCAGGTGATGGTGAATTTTAGTCCTGCCTTAGCCATGAAAGCCAGCTGGATTACGTTAGGCCAGTCATTTTCTCTCGGCCTACCTGAGGGTTATTGTGGGGAAAACAGGAAGAAGGTACATTAAAGTATATTCATTGCCTTGGGTTATTTGTAAAAATAACAAAGGTGGTATGGTAGTAGGTAGTATACAAACAAGTAAATGAAGTAGCCTAAGATAAGTGGTGGAAATATTGTCAATGAATCAAACTAGGTAAGAATCTAAAATGGGAGACAAACCCTAACAAAAAGGGTTTTATATATATTTTTTAGTTTACTTTATTATCATTGCATCTCGTACAACGAAATCAAACACCATCTTCAGTGCACATCATGACCATGAAAATAAACACAAACACACATCCTTCACCCTTCACACATTGAACCGGATTTATATGCTGAATTTATACTTGTGTTTTTATATATTTTATATATATAAATTTATATTTATATGTCGAATTTATACTAATTTAGCATGCAGGTGATCCTTGGTTAACGACTCCTTGTTCAGCAACTATTCAAATCTGTGATGGTGCTGAATGAGTGGCAGTTACAATTTATCCTCAGAGTTCTGGTTCTCTCAGCCTTCCTGCAGTCACCATCTGTAATCTTCCTTAGTGGCTTTCGACAAGCAAAGTCAATGGAGAAGCTAGCAGAATGTCATGAATGCTGATTGCATGATGTCCTCACTTAACAATCTGTGGTGATTTGCTTAACGACTGCAAGTGTTAGAATTTCCACTGCTAAGTGATGTGGTCTTACATCACCATGCTTTACCATGTTGCTTAGCAATGGCAATTCTGGCACCCATGGGTTGCTGTTCCTAACTGAGGACTTCTTGTATATAAAATCCCTTTCTTAGCATTATTTATTTATTTATATATAATTTATATAATTTACACACACACACACTCTTCTGAATATTTTGTCATGAAATTTAACAAGTTTATGATCTGAAATAGATTTCCCAGCATACAGTGAAAGTAACAGTTCTTGGGGGAGAATGTCTGTAGTTAAGCATATATAATTATCACCTCCAACTACATAATAAAGATGTAACAAATTACCTGGATTTCTTGACCAATTTGTAATCCAATAGCACTAGGATGCTTAATCTAGAACAAAATATCATCTCATTATACTTATCTCATAGCTTCAGATTGCTTTCAGTACAATTAGCAGCACATACAATAGTTTCTATAAGATTTACTTTTCTTATGAATTATTTCCCAAATTTGCAATTGCCTTTTACTCTATATTAACAACTAACGAGAGAATCAGCGGGTACACAGAATGTTTCAACAATATTGTTTAATATATGACAAACAAATTTTAGAAGTCTATCTAAAGTGACTATTCTAATAACAGACATACTATACATCTCTACTTGGTGCCACATCATAAACCAGGGCCTTCTATGGAAACACCATAAGTGACAAATGTGACAATATTATTATATGAACAGAAAAACAAAAAAGCACCTTTCTTTGATCCAACTGCGAGTTGTGAAGTAGAACAGGAGTCATGTTTGGATATAATTTTACCATCACACCAGCATCTCTGCATTTTTTTAAAAAGAAAAGAAAAGAATGTTTATTTCATTATTATTTTTATTTGTTTTGCAATATCTGTATACCTCTTCAATCAATTAAGGATTTAACAGTGAATAACATAGCATAAAGAAAACATATGATAGAAAAATAAATATAATAAAATACATGCATTCATTCAAATATATACCCAATCACAATCAATTAGGGCTAAAGGTCCAATGAAAGACTACTATTTTCACCAGCTGCCAAGGTGGGAGGTGGCTGAATGGAACTCTGGGGGAAAGATACCCTAGAGCACAAGGCCTAATTTGGGGAAGGCCAAGCATCTCATCTGCATCCCATGTATTCCTGTGGAAGTGGAGGGCTACCCTCTAGTTAGGCAACACTGACCTTATTCCCTCTTTGCTTCAACATTTTGTCCAAATAAAAAACCTAATTTTATCTGACTGAGCAACATGTTATAAATTATTTAACTTTTAAAAGTATTTTATAATCTTTTTCTCAACTGAACTTTGTAAATATTTTCAAAAATTGTTACAGAGTTGAGTTCTCTTCACTGAAAGAAAGAAAAAATATTTGTGACATTATCACCTTTTCTTGTTTTTGGAAGAGAGACAAGGAAGTCCTTATCAATCACATATTCAGTCTTTTATTGCTCCCCTTGTATCAGTTCACAAACAAAGGCCTAATGAAACTCCCAGTGAATAAATGAATCAATGTTAAAACACAATTAACAGTTTGTGATAAGGCTGTGATAGTGTGCACCTCTGCCTTCCATTATTTATGTTAGTTCTATGCAATTAAAATGATTAAAATTCTTTTTAAAAAACATACACATAAATAGTTGGGCAAGAAGGAGTGGAACATAAAATGAAAGATTTTAGATTAATGCCTTAGTTAAGGTATTCACCCATCGTTTCCTCACTTAATTTAATTTGAACAGTTTGTTCAGTACTGCTTGTTTTTTAATAATCAGTTCAACTAACAAAATTAAAACACTAGACTGGTTTGCTTTAGAATTTCCTCTGTATCTAAGAAATAACCTAGATGGTTACATATAAAAATGCTAAAAATGTATTTTTTTAAAAAAATAAAGATTATATGGTGTGTGTGTGTGTGTGTGATGACCTAGGGTGTGGCACAAAGGCAACACAGTCAGATATTCAGTAGGAGTCCCTTTATTAGCTCGAACTTTGCTCCCGATGTCCTGGTTACCTTCTGGCTGGAGAAAAACTCCCAGGAACAACCTTTGGCTGCAGAGAATCAAGTCTAAAACATGGTCAACAAAAACTGTAACTCTAAGCCCAATCAAGGCAAAATGACATAATCGGCAGGGCAGGACAGGACAGGACAAAGAATTCCAGACATGAAGGCATGGCAATAACTCAACACAGTTGGGAATACGTCAGAAACACAGATAACTAAAGTCAACACAAGAAAAACTCACATTTGCTCCCAGCAGCTGCCGCACTCGGCATGCATTTCTTTTAAATTCTCTTTCAACTGTGGCTAATGAAGAGAATCAGGGCCCTCTCCTCTCCCTTAAGCCACACAACCCATGTTGCTCACTTCTCCGTTCCTCCCTGGGTGCCCTAGGATGAAGAGTGGTAGGCCTGGGTCTTCCTCCGAAGTCCCTCTCTCGTTCTACCTCTCCCCTGCTCTGCCCAGCTGACATTGCCCTTTCCCAGTTTCCTCCACAACCAACGGAGCCACACTCCCACTCCCTGTCAGCTGTTCATCTTCCTCCTCAGATTCAGAATCCGACAGGGGTATGACTGTGTGTGTATCTGTGTCTGTGTGTGTCTGTTCGTGTGTGTGTGTGTGAGAGAACACACATTCATCCATATGCAGATATACTATTTGATCAGCTTCACAAGTTGCATTTGTTTACCTTAATTCAGTTATTGTTGCTGTATATATAGCTCCAAATTCCAACTGATAGTCTTGCTATAAATATAAAGAAGAGTTGCAGGAGTAAAAGACATAAATATATGTGAAGAACAAAAACATTAAAAACCTGCAATATGGCATTGACTATATTCAAAGAAAATATTAAAATTATTAAAATTCTCAAAGGCCGTTTTTCATTCAATCAATATAGTATTTTGGAAATCAACTACAGGTAATCCTTGACTTACAACAGTTCATTTAGTGATAGTTCAAAGTTACAATAGCACTGAAAAAAGTGACTTATGACCATTTTTCACATTTATGACCATTGCAACATCCCCATGGTCATATGATCAAAATTCAGATGCTTGGCAACTGACTCATATTTATCATGGCTGCAGTGTCCCAGGGTCATGTGATCCCCTTTTGCAACCTTCTGAAGAGCAAAGTCAATGGGGAAACCAAATTTACTTAACAACCAGGTTACTAATTTAGCAACTGCAGTGATTCACATAACAAATACGGCAAGAAAGGTAATAAAATGGAGCAAAACTCACATAACAAATTCTGCTCTTAGCAACATAAATTTGGGGCTTCAATTGTGGTTGTAAGTTATATTTTATTTAATTCTATAAAACTTGTCCAGGCTGAAAAGACTTGGAATAGGAAATATAAATGTCTGATATTTTTAGAAAATTATTATGAATAATAAAGCTAAAGATATCAAAAAGGCTCTTACATCATCTTTGCATATTTCATTAATAAATTCTTTTGCTTCATACATAGCTTCCGGTACTGGAGCAAATATGGAAAAAGTATCTTCATCTACTTGGCTAACAGTTACCCCTTTGGAATAAAAACAGGCCACAATTAGTATTCAATATATTGTATTAGTTTTAAACAAAATGTGGGAATATAAAATCTAAAAACAGAAGTTACCTGTTTCAGCTAGAAGTTTCTTTAAATTATAACCTCCTGGTCCAAGAAATCTTGCTCTTTTTGTTGCTGGTACCTGAATATTTTCTGAAATGAACAAAATTCAAGATATGAAGAAAGTGTATCACTAGGATTTAGGGGCTGACTTTTTCATTTGCTAATTTTGCCTTTCGGAAGAAGTAGTATATAATAGCATGCTTATATTTAGAAATCTAAATAGATCTCAAGTTTATTTGACCAATGAGAATATCGTAAAAACTATGTTTTGCTGGTATTGATAAAAGAGAAGATGGAAATAATATTAAATAATTTATCTTACAGCACTATTATATCCACTCCAAATCTGCAGAGGTTTGGATAATCATCAAAAACAAAAGACACTCAGTTTTTTATAATCATCTTCTAAAGCTTTAATAGTTTGCCTCTTCCTAATATTCTTTTTCTTTGTATAATCCATTATTAATCCTCTCGCGTATGCCTTCATTGTATCCCAAACATTCTGCATTGAAGTATCTTTTTTATTTTCACTGAAAAAGAAAGCCAATTCTTTGCCCATCCATTGTGTAAAGTCTTTTTCCTTTAAGATAGTGTTGTTTAATGTCCATCTAGATCTTCTTCTTTGTCCTTTCCATTTAATTGTCATAGGATTATGGTCTGCCCATATACCCGTTTCTATATTTATTTCTTGAATGTTAGATATTAGTTCTGATGAAGTCCAAATCATATCTATTCTGGACCATGATAAATGTCTATTTGAATAAAAAGTATATTGCTGGGTTTTACCATTTCTTTCTCTCCATATATCTTTTAAATTTAATTCATCTACCATTTTAAAAAAGGATTTAGGGAGAGTCTTTCTATTTTGTTTTAATGCTGTCGCTGTATAGTCCAATTTATTATCTACAATTCCATTAAAATCTCCCATCATAATTATATTGACATGGTCCAGTCCAATTGATTTCATATGTAACTTTTTATAAAATTCTTCTTGTTTATCGTTCGGAGCATAAATTGCAACAAGTAGTGTTTTTATATTGTTATCCACTATTTCAACCATTAATACTCTTCCATCTTCATCAGTATAAACCAATTTTGCTGCAATAGTTTCTTTAATGTACAGGACCACTCCTCTTTTCTTACAGTTAGTCAAGGAAGTAAAAATTTTCCCCAGTTTTGGTCTTACCAATAATCGTTGATGTTGTTTTTTAATATGTACTTCTTGTAGGCAAATTATATCAAATTTTAACTTCTCTAATTTATGAAAGATTTTTCTTCTTTTAATAGCTGAGTTCAATCCATTTATATTCATAGAAATCAATTTTTTTCCTCCATGATTATGTTTTATATTTAGGTCTAACAGTTCTTGTAGATCTTACTTCACGTTGTTCTTTGGTCTCCATTTGTCCACCTACCGCACCTTCTTCTTTCCCCGTTCTCATCTGGTCTTCTTGAGGCTCAGTTGAAATGGTCTCTTTTTATGTCTCTATTTCTCTTCTCCCAAAAAATTCATTGTAGAATATTTCTGCTTTCTCAACTGAGTCGATTCTGTGTCTCTGTTCTTGCCATATAAACATTAATCCTTCTGGGATCAACCATCTATAATTCACGTCTTTTTCCAATAATTTTTTGGTCAAAAATCGATATTCTCTTCTTATCTCTCTCACTCTTCTGGGCACTTGTTTTAAAACCATAATCTCTTTACCTTTATATTTCAACCCCTTATCTCTTGCGACTTGTAATATTTGTGTTTTAATAGTCTTTTTAGTAAATCTGACATGGATCTCCCTTGGTAGCTTATTCCTCATCGCATATCTTGTAAAAACACGATATATCTCATCTACTCCGTCCATCATCTTTTCCTCTGTTATCTCCAAAGCTCCAGCCAGAATTTCTATCATTACAGCCGCCAAATCTTGTCCTTTTTCTTCCTCTATATTTTGAAATCTGAGATAGAATTCTGACCTATCCATCTCCCACTTCAACATCCCAGTTATATCTTGTTGCACCGTTGTTAATTTGCTAACAATATTTCCAACTGTCTCATCTCTTTGTTTGTCTTTCTCCTCAATTTTTTGGAGTCTCTCCTCCTGTTTCGCCATCATTTGTTGAAAATTTTCAATTTTTTCATCAGTCTTTGCAATTCTTTGTTCAATACTCTCTGTTCTTTGGTCAATACTTGTTTTGAGTTCTTGTATTCCTGGTATAATCGTCGCTAGATCCATTTGTACTTTATCTTGCTTTGCCATTATTGATAGTCGTCCTCCAGTTGATGGAGAAGCAGGAGCAGAAGTTGAACTGCCAGAAGGTAAAGTTTTCTTACTCATTTGAATAACTCAGGATCTTTAAGCTCCTTTAATCCAATTAATAGGGTAGCCAATTATAATCCAATTGGGAAGAAGAAAAACATTAAAAAAAACAGTAAAAAATAAAGAGTCCAGGATTAAAAAGAGAAGGAGAAAAGGAAGATTAAAAAGAAAAAGGAGGAGATTCTTCAGGTTCTTCTAAACCTTAATCCTATTGTGGAATAGTCAATTATGATTCAAAAATAAAAATTAAGAATAGTAAAAAAGAAAAAGAAAAAGAGAGTAAGACCCAATAATATTAAAAAGCAATGATAAAAAAAAGAAGAGGAAAAAGAAAGAATTCTTCAGGTTCTTCACACCTTAATCCAATTATAAGGTCTCAAAAAATAAAAAAATAACCATAAAAATAAATAAGAAATGAAAATAGAAAATAGAAAAGGCAAAAATCCCAATAAGCAAAAAGAAAAAGGAAAACTATTCTGAAGCTTTCCCTTTAAAAAGAAAAGTAAATTTAAAAATTAAAAATAAGGTCAAACAAAAGAAAAAGAAAATAGATATACAAATATTACAAAATACTGTGGGATTGAAGAGGAGGGATGAAACAGCTAAAAGAAGGTAAAAAAGAAAGCACACTGCATCTTATTTAGTTATCCAAGGCTCTTATTATGGCTTCTCCACAAATTCCAAAGCCAAACTTCAAGTACTCAATTAATAATAGAAGTTCCAAAGAACACCTGTTAAAACATTCTCCAGTGTTCTTCCCTCTATCTAATCAAGTTCCAGTGTCCTTGAGAAAGGATTCCTTCACAGCCCTTTCAACTTCCAATAAAGTATCTTCAAGCCTCTAGTTGGCAGTGTTACAAAGTTTCTTTAATCCACCCCCCCTTCTTTCTCAAAAAAGCCTAATAAAAAAAAGGGAAATATACATGTATATATATGTATTTAAGAAAAAAAAATTACTAAAGGGAGCCTCTGTTCTAAAAAAAACTATTAACAGTCAAGAGGGGGAAAAAAGAAAGAAAAATTAGGTGAATATAAAAGGAAAAACCAGTCTAGTTACAGTTACTAGATCACAATGGAAGTTCAATGAAAGCAAAAGTAAAAGTAAAAAGCCAAGCCTCAATTTGACATTCTCTTTAAGAAATCGCCGCTAAATCAGTTTCATCAGTTTTTGTCCAAAGTCTTACAGGATTCTTCTCATTTTAGAGTGTCCTTAAGTCCCCGAGAAAAAAAAATTCTCACCAGCCGATGCACTTTCTCTTTCTGCCTCTTCCTTCCGGAGCTGTCACAGCTTCAGCAGCTTAAAGGCTGCCTCTCCGCCGATGGTAAAAGGGCTTCTCCTGGATCAGCCAGGGACTTTGCGATGTCCCTGGGATCAGCAGAACGCGCCCCTTACTATCACCATCTCTACGGGACGGTTTAGGTCCATTAGGACCGACCAGGGGCAAAGATATCAGCTGCAATCTCAGAGCCCCGAGATTGCAGCTGTATCGCAGCGACGTGGCTCTGCCTTCTTGAAGAAATGGGAAAATCTACAATTGTCATTGATAGGTAGAATTTCAACAATCAAGATGAATATTTTACCCAGAATTTTATATTTGTTCCAAACCATATCAATCAGGCTTGGTAAAGATTACTTTGAAGAATTAAATAAAATTGTGTTGAAGTTTATATGGCAAGGTAAGAAAGCCAGAATAAAATTAAAACTTCTGCAAGATGCTAGAATTAGAGGAGGTTTTGGCCTTCCAAATTGGGAGTTGTATTACCAAGCTGCAAATTTAATGTGGGTTAAAGATTGGATAACATTAAGAAAGACTAGATTGTTGACACTAGAAGGGCATGATTTATTACTGGGATGGCATGCTTTTCTGTGGTATAAGGGAACTAAAAACAAAGAGACACTCAAAAAGATAGAATAAATGAAAAACAGATATTATCCTATGTCAGATACATTAATGAACACATTTGCAAAACAAAATTAACAGATTAACAAAAATGATTTTATGTGAATGTGGTGCACTAGTAGTTTAAAAGGGGAAAAATACTCCACAGATACCAACATTTACTAACTTTTTACAAAACCTTCTAGACTTTCTGATCACTTCAAGACAATACTACTACTATGACTTTTCTTTCTTTCTCTGCTTTCCTTTAATTTTTTAATTTAATTTTTTAAACTTTGTTAAATTTAAATTCCCTTAAATGTTTCCATTTTTCCTCAAGACAAATATGTTGTGGTATCAGCGATAAATACCCTTCTTTAACAGATTTTGATTTTATTGATACTATATGATTTAGCCACCTTGGCAGGTCAAATATGAAATTGAATGACTGGAATGAAAACCATAACTCAAAAAAGTCATAAATCTGCATATACTGGGTCATCTTCTTAAAGTAACATTTTATGCATTTTAGGAAAACCTTTCTAACTACCCCAGTTAAAATTATAGGTCATTACCTACAAGTGGTCCATTCTCTTTTCTGCTTGGTCTAGGTTTTGCAATTACTTTGCTCATTATTTGCAAGATCTCTTTCTTTGCAACTATGGAAAAATGAGTAACATTTTAGTTGAAGTACACAACATATACAATTTGTTTTTTTTCATCAAAAATACTGCTGGTGTTCTGCCTTTCTTTTTTAAGCAAATCCTTTCTAGCATTTCACCACTACAACAGTTTGAGACCCTTTCGATCAGCTGTTCTATTATTTCCAGTCTAGAACTTTATAAGGAATTAATTTAATACCAAATATTTTGTCCAGTTTTCTGTATTATTTCCAGTGCATCATGGAAACCCTCTACATTTCTCTCTCTCTTTTTCCCTCACCCTCTCAGCTTAACCAACCTCACAGGGTTGTTGTTGTGAGGAAAATAGGAAGGAGGTGTGTTGCATATGATTATCGCCTTGAGTTATTTGTACAAATAATAAAGGTGGGACATAAATAAGTAAATATTTTTAAGAATGTAAGTAAGCACGGAGAAACGAGAGTAATTTATTCCATTTCTTGTCATATTTTAAGCTTTTGTTGCAATCTCTTTTATTATGGATCTATTAAGTTTTTAGGTTGGTTTTTGGAATAAAAATACAGTCACATTTGGCTATTCACTTAAGACAATGACAGTATTTTCTGCAAGTAAAATAAAATACGTTTCCTTGGTGTTTTTCTTCTGTAGGAATAAAATAAAAAGCATGTTAAATACACAGTCCATTGCTGACACAGAAATAACAAACAAGGAACTTTGCTAGTTTTTATGTTGAAAAGCAATGAGATTTAAAGGGGCCCATACATTTTAACTGGTATATTATTTGGTTTAAAACTTTAACTGATCAATGGGACTGTGATTTGGGCCCTTTGGAAATATTTTGCTTTGAATGAACTCAGATTAGCTCCATCTCTTATCATTCTGGAAGTTCCCAAGACCTAGTTCTACCACCAGGCCTGGGGGAAGATCTCATGGAACTGGAGATGTTCTTAAAGGTCTCCATTGTGATTGATCTTTTATTCTCTCCTTGTGGTTTATATATTTCCAGATTTTTCAGTTTTTAATTTATAATGAGGATTGTTAATTTTTATGAGTTTTTGTTGTTTTATTGATTGCTGTACTCTGCCCAAAATCACTTTATAAGTAATTATTATATAAATGTGATAAATAAATAAATAAACTTAATCTACTGAATGCCAATCAAAATATGAGATAATACTGTGGACATTTTTTTACAGATTTATAACTTATCCTTTTGCTGATATGAAAAATGTAGAGAAAAAAGGAGCAAAAATAAGTCAAGAACTGTGGTTGTTCTTCTCACCTGTAGCTTGTTGAATAGCTTCCATTACAATTTTTAAGGGTATTCCTGGTATCTTGATATCAGCCTAAGAATGCACAAATCAAAAATGAAGTTTAACATTAATGGAACTATTTTCTAGCAAATTGGGGGTGGGATGATTAAAGTGGATACCTGTAAGGCAGTGATTCCTTTATTTGTCCCAGCCATCTTGAAGTCCATATCACCATTATAATCCTCTATTCCCTGTATAAGAGCATTTGAAATAATCAGCAAGATTGCAATAGTTCTATTAACAATCCAATCATAAGTGTCAACACATATTCTGCTGCGATATTTTCTTCAGAACTGTTGCTAAATTCTATACTTATATTGATATAATGGATGTCTCTAAACCATATACTGTATGATGTCCTTGGAAAATAAAGTCAACCAAAGTTACTCTAAATAAATAGCTAAATACACTGATGCCAGAAGCTTAAACTATAAAACAATAAATGGTTTAGAGCATAAAACACATTCTGTAAAATATTAAAATTCCCAAGATTTCAAATAAGTTGTATAATCTTCTTATGTTGTAAGATATTGTAATTAATACGAGTTTTGTCAGAGGAATGGGAAATTACATAGGCTATGGACTGTATAATTAACATGAATACAGGTGGCTCCCAATTTACCACCATTCATTTAGTGATTATTCAAAGTTACAACGGCAGTGAAAAAAGTGAGATATGACCAGTTTTTACACATTCCCCATAACCATGTGATCAAAATTTGGGCCCTTGGCAACTGGCACATATTTATGACAGTTTGTAACTTTCCCAGCCAGCTTCTGACAAGTCAATGGGGGAAGCCAGATTTGCTTAATGACCAAATGATTCACTTAACAATTGCAGTGATTCACTTAAATGTGGCCAAGGAAGTCATAAATTGGAGAAAAACTGACTTAACAACTGTGTTGCTCAAATTGTGGTCATATATCAAGAACTAATGGTACATAATACTCATATCAGGCAAATACTCAATTCAATAGTTCATCAGATGCGAGTTTGTATAAATGCAAAAAAGTTATATGGCTGCCAAATAAAAGAATTGAGTAATCTCCAGAGTCCACTAGTGTTAATATTTAACATTAAATTTTTATGATGATTTTATAATGTTGAAAGCACTTCACACAGATTATATTCTGAATGTATTTTTAAATATGTATTTTTAAAAAGTATTGCGGGTCGAATTGGCACATTGGACCATATTGTCTGGAAACATGCAGAAGAGGCCTTCATCCTGCAGTGGATAGACAATGGCTAAAATGACACTATTTTAAAATGCGTATGAGTGGCCAATCCATTTAATAGATAAGTGGGATGTATGAGGAAAAGTAGTGGGTTTCCTAAGACCGCATATCACTCATTAGATTCAAAAGATACTCTCCTAATTCAAAGCTTTGCCTCTCATAGTGTTATTGTGAATTTATTTGCCAGTAATACATAATGGTTATAAATGTAACTTTTTTATTGAATTTTTTGAAAAAAAATGATTTTTGTAATAATGTAATATAAATTTTATAGACTGAAGATATCTCAAATCTAAGAAACAAACTTAAGAATACTCACCAGAATGTCTGTTAATAGGCAATAATTTTCAATGTCTCCAACTTTTTCAGGATTTGGCTTGGTAATCAAACCAATAGCAACACCTGCTACAGGAGATGATATGGGAACTCCTGGCGGAGGAAATAAAAACCCCAATCATCATGCTGCTGAATGAAACTAAATAGGCTTTGGAATCCAACCTCTGCTCAGATTAAGAGATATTTTTCACAAATGAAAGAAAATATATGTGTCCCAGGATAATGTTGCAGGATCCAATCTGGGTTGGTCACTGGTATGGTATTTCTAGTGCCTGTTGTATGTACCCAGATTGGATCCTGCAAGAGACCTAACCTCAATATTAACAAATTCAAAGAAGGGAAGACCATCAGTTTTCTAGGTAATTTGTTTTATTGACAAACTCCCGTATCATTGGGAAAAAATAAAATCAAATAAAATCTTTATTTTATTAAATCTTTATTAAATCTTTCAAATAAAATCTCCCCCATTACATTCTTCCACATTATAGTGAACGAGGAGAAGCCTCCTCCCAAACCTTGACACAAAAGGATTAAAAGTAAAACCAAAATGTAATTGGTCAGTCTAGGTAGTGGACAGAAATAAACAGACCTAGAAAACTCAAATTCTGAAGAACCAATCAGAAGTGAAAACCAGTGATGTAGGCTTTTTCAAAAAGGATAGGGAAGCTTAATTTTGTCTTTTGTATCTGTATCTTGCACTGGCTTAAAAGCCACATAAAAACCATACATTGCAATTTTGATTATAGTTCAGAAATTAGACAGTTATCTAACCTACAAACTAGGTGAAATGAATACCGATGTTTATTTCAGAGACTGATATGAACTGCTGTGATTCTGTTATGTGTTTGCTTCTCTGTGTTGCCCAAGGAAATCCTCTTCCAAATTAATGTCCAATTCTCCTTTTTAAAAATTTCCTTTGTTCTCTTTTAACTCTATTTACAGTCATGTGAAAAAGTAAGAAAACCCCACTGAATTTTTTGACTTTTTCAATGTATTTCAACATACAGTTATTTGATCTTAATTTCAACAATATTTCAACAACCATTCTACGATCCGGAAGATCCCCTAGAAGTGGAGATTTCAAACTGTGAATTTACTTGGACTAGGCCATTCCAAAAGTTCAGGCTGAGAGTATACTCCTGTACAAGATGCTGAAAGAAATCTTTTTAAGAACCTCAGAATTTCATCATCTGACCTACAGGTAGCTCTCACAACTACTGATGTCCAAATGCATGAAGTTACCTTTAGAAAGTAGCTTCACAAATTAGATCTACCAGGAAGGTGGGCCAAGGAGAAAACTTTTGCTGTCCAGAAAAATACTAGGATAAAACTAAAGTTTTCTTATAAACACCTAGGCAAAAAGACCAGGGCTTCTGAAACAATGTGCTCTGGAAAAACAAGGCAAAGATAGTTTTTTTTGTCAAAGTACCAGAATGCCTATTTAGTGAAAATCAAAGATAGAATTTCACCAGAGGATCCTGATACAAACTGTAATACATGGTAGTGAAATATTATGATTTGGGGCTGCTTTGCTGCATCAGGGGTTGGGCAGCTTACCATTATAGAATCCTTATGAATTATCCATTTATGATATTACCTAGTTTGGGTAATGAAATGTCTGCAAGAAAACAACCAAGATCAGACAGCACCAAGGACTCCTGAATTATTCATTGTATTGGAGGGTGCTTGAGGATAATGTAAAACCATCTGTCAGGAGAGATTAAAGCTCAACTAAAAGTGAACCTTGCAACATTACAATGATTCTGAACATTCCAGTAAATTCACAATGGAATGGCTGGAAAAAAAAGGAGGATTCTGGAAAGCAAAGCCCAGATCCAAATTCCACTGAGATGCTGTGAGGTGATTTGAAATGGGTCATGCATGCAAAAAAAAACCCTTAAACATCACACATCTGAAAAAAATTCAACATGATGAAGTGGAGGAATAATTCTCCCTGTTGATGTCAGAGAATGACATATAATAGAAATGCCTACCTGAAAATGTTTCTAACAAAGGGGGCGATGGCATGTTTTAGAGCCAAGAGTGTATTTTTCGATTGAAGGAAATAGCATAACTATCAATTTTTTGTTGAATAAAGGATTGCAAAATCAATTATTCAGATTTTTAAGTTACATTTCCTATGTCTTTATATATTGTTTGAATTGATATGTCTACATGTTAAAAAAAGAAAAAAACTTTTCATGGGGTGCAACTTATTATTTCACATACCTAAAATTTCCTCAATCTTGGTGTATGTTTTCCTGCTCACTTAAACTGCTCAGAGAAAGTCCACCTTCTTCCTCCCCAGTAAAATAATGCAGATTTTTTTTTCCTCTGAAACAAAGTAGATCAGAGTAGCATAGCTCGTAGACTTTCCTACGGAGTGGGGAAGCATGTAGAAATTGGGGATGGGGAACATTTAGGGACTCCACTCAATGAGATCAAAAGGACCAAACTGCTACATTTCAGGTATATATATAGTATGTATAATCGTACCTCATTATACATATCCTGCAGTCCAGAACAGCGGTCCCCAACTTTTACAGCTTGGCAGCCAGATTGGCGGAGAGGGGAACTGGACTGTGTGCTGGCCTGCCACTTGTATATGTTTTGGGTGCGCCAGCCCACCACTGGCATAGCCTGGATCTGAACAGGCCATGGCCTGGTACTGGGCTGTGGAATGGGGGTGGAGGACCCCTGGACTAGAATGATTACAAAGTAATCATCATCTGTGTGACAACTTTTCAAATATTTCACTTATTCTCTTATTAGGGCCAAACCTTCCTAAATTCTTAAAGTTCTCTTCACAGGAACCACGCTGTTTGAGTTGAGCACTCTTATAAATCTAATAAATAAATACTCACCCCTTTTAATATTCTTTTTCTCTAACCTGTTCCAGTTTGCCCTGCAAACAGTTTGTGTTACCCAGAATTAGACCCAAGAATAAAAGTTAGACCTGACTTTTGTATCTGAAACCAGTATCTCTAATTTTACTATTTTTATAGCATTGTATTGCATAAATCAATTCAAAATATGACATTTGTACACTTAGAAAAAACATACCTGCATCCATCAAGGCTAGACTCCCACCACAAGCAGAAGCCATTGATGATGACCCTGAGGACAGAAATTGTAAGTAAGCTATCCCTTAATGCATTGTCAATTAAACACTACTTTTCTATATTTAAAAATGAGTAGCTTTCAAACTGGCAGTGAGAGCCAATTTGGTGTAGCCATTAAGGAATTCTATAGAGTTCTAGTTCCTCCTTAGATACAAAGCCTGCTGAGTGATCTTGGGTCAGTCTTTCTCACTGCTTGGAAGCAGGCAATGGCAAACCACCATTGAAATTTTGCCAAGAAAACTATAGGGAATAATCCAGACAGTCACCAGGAGTCAAGACTGACTTGGAGGAAAACTTCCCCCTCCAAATGATTCCCAGTAACATGAAGAAAATTCATAACTGTTTATCAACTTTTGATTTCTATCTCCTAGATGTAGATTCTTCAGTCATTCTAAATACAATACAGTCATTCTTGATACATTTCAGAAATTTGAAAAAAACCTTGGAACAAGAATTGAAGTATAAGGGTCTTAAACATTCATGAACTCTATTTTTACCAAAATCACAATGCAATTTTCTATTAGAGTAAAAAAAGGCTACAAATCCCTTTCCCCCAATCCTAGATTGCTACCAACAGATTGAAGCAAAATATATAAAAAAGCAAATACCATTTGATTCTAATACTTCTGAAGTAACTCTTATTGTGAAAGGAAATTTATTTGGAATCACCGGTTTCAAAGCCTTCTCTGCAAGTGCACCTACAGGTAAAAATAATGTCATGAATACAAAGAATACTTAACTTCAATAAAAATGTTGAGTTGCCTAGGGGTTTACTTACCATGACCAAGTTCTCTCCTATTTGAACCTGAAACTCTGCCAATCTCATTAGTTGCATATGGAGGGAACTACAAAAAGAAGGAAGACACTTTAAAACACCAAGTCAGCATTTATATTAAGATACAGAGCCAGAAATTTACACCACATGCATTCTTCAGAATTTAAAAATTATTCACACATTTTAAGCGGTTCATTTATTCTCACAGTTCCCCCCCTCCCCCCAAAAATCCCTGGCTCTCAGTTCAATATAAAGAGAATGATCCAATAACATTTATATCTTAATAGTTAAACTGCAAAAATATCTAGTATCTACTGCTTGAAATATAATTATACACACACACACACAAAATATATATGCATCTATTTGCCATCCTCTGTAAATCTGTGCAATATAGTTACATATAAACAAACACACACACACGCTGCAGATGCTGTTTAGGAACAACCTAAGTGGTATTTCATACAAGCCCTTTAATAATCATGTAATCGTTTTTCAGTGGCACAAAATATTCTTCATTTGTAGACAAGAAAGCACCTTCTAAATGGTCAAACAGATACTCCTCAACTTATGGCCAAGCCCATTTCTGTTGCTAAATAAAACATTTGTTAAGTGAGTTTTGCTCCATTTTATGACCTTTCTTGCCACAGTTGTTAAGTGAATCACTGTATTTGTTAAATTAGTAACATACTTGTTAACTAAAACTGACTTTGCTTGCCAGAAGATAGCAAAAGATGATCACTGGGATACTGCAACTGTCATAAATATGAGGCAGTTGCCAAGCACCTGAATTTTGACCAAATGACCATGGGGATGCTGCAATGGTTATGTGAAAAATGGTTGTAAGTTACTTTTTCCAGTACTGTTGTAACTTTGGACATTAAACTAATTGTTGAAAATTGAGGACTACCTTTATCTGACTCTGTATGCCTCAACTGGAAGCTTTTAATTGCTGTTATTCAAATATAATCTACTTTTCTCAAAACAGCTCAATGAATTCCCACATTTGCCCAATATGTGATTTATGGCTTAACATTAGATGGAAATCCAAGTAATGTAACTTGTTTAAGTGGGAACCCTATAGGTAGCGGTTATTTGCAGCGTATATTAATTATTTTTCCTCCTAAAATACTCAAAGCAATGTAAAATATTAAAATCTCATTAAAAAAGCATAAAAATGTCACAATACTTTTAGCAACTGCAAGTATTAAAAGTACACAACAAATACAACAGTCAGAGCATAGTTATTACAATACAGCTGGTCTTCCCACAGAAAACTTTGGAGTTCCCTTGAGATCTGAATAAACTTATGACATAGAGGAATTTTCCTTTTAAGAAAAGCAATGTGGAATCATCCCTAAGTTCAAGTACTGAACTTTATTGATTAGGCATCTCAAAGATAATAAAATTCAAGTGAAACAAAGAAAAATATCATACCTCATAATGAAGCATAAAGTTTTTTTCTTTTATTCCACTAAAATAGAAATAAAAAGTTATATAGATTTTAATAAGCTGTATATAATTTAATCAATTCATGACCATTTAAATAAAACTAGTACTTTGTTCTCTTTCACAAACAAACCATGACAATCAGGATTTAGGGCACGAGAAACCTCATTTTTCCAAGCATCTTTCCCAAGCCATAAATTTCCTTGAAATTTTCAGAAACAATTGACTTTTTGTAATAAGTTTACCTATAGTAATGTATAATAAGTACATTACTATGGAGCCCTTTTTCTGATTAAACCAACCTCTTTTCAGAACTCAGAAACTAATCTGATGAGAGCCAGTACAAAGCTATATTTTTAAAACTAAATCTGCCTAAGCTTGATCTATCTTTAATAGGAAATAGTCTGAAGAAGTGGTTTTACACACTGTGTGTCAGGATTCTGGCAGTTACTCCAATTAAATCATGAGCCTCGAGCCATACTCCCAAAACTAAAAAGGATTTATTAGAAGTTAACATTCCAGCATTAGCCTGGGCGTAGCCAACTCTGAGATACGTAATTCACTGTCACCCTTGATCCTGCTTTCCCTCCCACCCCTCAGGGTGTATCATCCAACGAAACATGTCCATAGCCAAGAGTCATCAATCATGCTCTCCAATTAGATTTTTGCTGAGGCAAAAGCTTCAGTAATCTAATCAGTCTCTGAAGAAAATATGAATGGAATGTACTTTCGTTTCCATACTGCTGCCTGCTCTTTGAAACTCCTCCCACTTTCTGTTGACAACTATAAAATGTGTACACAAAATGTTTTATGAGTTGACATTGTGTGTCTGAGTTGATATTTTAGTCACATTTTCTTAAGATAGTGAACAGTTCTGACACTCTCACAAGGTGGTTTGCTTATTCACAAAAATGACTAGCCCAGCCCATCATAGAAAAATAATTTGTATAAAAAAAGAGAAATTGTCCATCATCTTCCCTTCTAGAATGCTGGTTTCTAACCCAACATTTTCTCTTAAGAAAATTTACGAAGAAAGCACTGGGCTGCGATGAATCCACTTTTATTTTATATCAATGTCCAGGAAGCTCATATTATGCTTAGAAGCATTCTTATAAATACAATTATTCTAGGGCAGGGGAGTCAAACTTGCGTCGTCACCATATCGTCATGTGACATATCATGACTCCCCCCCCTTCACTAAACCAGGCGTGGGTGTGGCCAGTGCGTGACAGGCTGCAAGTCTGACACTCCTGTTCTAAGGAATGACATTTTGGTTGCAACTTTTCATTTAAAATAAAAATATTGTTAGAAGGGATATGGAAGCTTGTAGGAACAAAAATGCTGGAAACATATATGTATCCAAGTACCATAAACCATTGTCCTACACTAAACCAAAATTCTTAGTTTATAAATTAAGACAATGGCACTGAAAAAAGTGACAACTGGTTCTCACACTTACAACTGTTGCAGCATCCTCACAGTAAACTGGGTGTTGGCAACTGACATGTATTTATGATGACTGCAACATCCCAGGTCACCCTTTGTGACTTTCCCAGCTGGCTTCTGACAAGCAAAGTCAATGGGGATGTTGTATTTACTTAATGACTGCAGTGATTTATTTAACAACCATGGCAAAAGGGTGTTAAGATTGAGCACAACTCACTTAACAACCATCTTGCTTATCAATAGAAATTCTGGTTCCAATTATGGTCCTTTGTCAAGGACTACCTATATTATAAATTAAGATGATGTGAAAAGCCAGTTCCCATAGTTTGTAAACGATATAATTTAGGGGTCCCCAACCTGTGGGCTGCAGCCCATTACTGGTCCGTGGTTTATTCGCAACCGGGCCGCATGAGTGGCGGGCTGGTGCGCATAGGCGCTCAGGGCCTCACTTGTGCGAGTGTCACAACTGCTCAGGCCCTCACTTGCGTGAGCATTGCAGGCACTTGTGGCTCCAGTTGCGCAAGCATCATGGGCGCTCACTGCCCCATTCATGGTTGTTAAGTGAGGACTATCTGTATAAGCAATTTATAATCAATTTATAATTATGATCCAGCAAAGAGCAAAAACCAGGCTAAGCTGGCAGTGTTAAGAAGGTGAAAGGAAAATATACAATGGCACATACCTGGCTACTGTTGTGATAAGATCAGATTTAATACTTGATTCTAATGAATCAAATGTGACTGTGCAGAGGACCTAAAATAAGCCCAAAAGAAATGTTATTATAAAAAATTTCTCAAGGAAATTAAATTCCCTATAAAATAAAAATGATAGTAACATAAAATGCTTCAGAAACTCTGAAATTATGTTTACCTTTATTTCAAATGTTTCTGAGCTGTACTTGTTTAAAATTATACTACAAGTATAAACACTGTATATTAGAAATTTCAATCAAATATATGCACAAATCAACTGAACATTTTTCAGAAGAAAAAAAATACAAAAGTCTTTACTCTTTCTCCCAGTTTAAGATCAAGAAATCTGATCACACATAGTGCTATTTTAACTATTCATCTATAAGAACATTTTCACTCATTGACATGCATATCTCATACAGTGCAATTTCAATAGCAATGCAAAACGTAACAATGCCCTCTAATTTCTGATGCACAAAGGAAGTTAAGGATAATTTTACAGAGTAGCAATCAACTTATTTCAAAGTATTGTAGGCACTTAAAATCATAAATTTGGTTTTAATTGCATACTAACAATATACCGCTATTTGCATTGTAAGATTTTTCCCCCCTCTAAGAAATAGACTTGTGTATACATCTTCCCGAGTCCCTGAGCATGAGATGATGATGATAAACCTTTAAATCTTGAACTTTTTCATATAAAGCTTGAGTTTTGCTGCTGATTATATATATCCCTTTGTAATGTTTTGCCAGAATATCAGCCAAGCCAACAAGCAGAAATAAATATTTTTTAAAAATGGAACATTAAAGCATTTTTAAAATTCATAATATTCAAAAACAGAAGTGAGTACCTGTGTTTGTCCCCTTTGAAATAAAGCTGAACCATGCAAAGTTTTAAACAAGTCCACTTCACAAGTGATATTTCTCAGTGTATTGAAATCTCTACCATCACATCTAGAAAAATAAAGTTAAAAAGAAATAATTTTTCTTTCCAAAGTCTTCCTTCACCAACTGAAATACAGAATTCATCCTGTGATTTAAATCCAATAGCAGTTACCTGATAGGAGCAGGTTTATTTCACTGAAGTGTACATATTGGTGTAATATAGGTCCTACTAAAATAGGTTAACAGCTCAGACCAAATCAATCCATTGACACTTATTTTTAAAAGTTTTTAATCCAGTATAACTTCTAGAACACATTGTCATTGTTTTGTTCATCATGCACATATTTTCCTGTTAGGGATTCTATTCTTATTGGCTCATGTATGAGGCATGAGTTGTTTCAAAAACTATCCCACGTTTTGCCTTCCATTATCATTATTTGAAAATAACTCCACTTAATTACAGTCGGTTCCACATTTACCTTCGGTATTCATTGATGATAAGATTTCTAAAGATTTCCTTGGCAACAACATTAAATGATTCCGTGATTTCATAAGAATCAGCTCCCGGAAACTTTTCTAGAAGTTAACATAGAAGAAAAAAAATTTAGTGAACAGCATCCATTTTAGCAACAAAATAATCAGCATGATTTTATATCTTTTTCTTTCAGCTGTTCGAAGAGAACAGCTTTGTAGAAATGAAAGCAAACAGGGGGAAAAAAGATGTTTCTCTATCAACATCCATGTAAGGTGTCCATAGAAGCCTTTTTGGGCTCCTGTGCCAAAAATTGTGCGTGCACTGGCACTCGCACACCAGCACCCAGAAGGCAATGCATGCTCCCCCATGCCCCCTGAGCATGCACGTGCAATCCGCCTCTGGGAGGCCGAAAAAGGCCTCAAACCAGGCCTCACATCTGATTTTCGGCTGGTTCTGCCTCCCAGAGGCTTGAAAAAAGCCTCTGTAGGCTGAATAGGCCCACTTCCGATATTACAGGAAGTGACAAAATGGGCCTATTTGGCCTGCAGAGGCTTTTTTCAAGCCTCCGAGAGGCCGGAAAAGGCCTCAACCCAGCCCAAAAAGAGCTGTGAGGCGCGCGCATGTGCAGTGAGGTAAGTTTGCCTGTGGCTCGCATGCCAGCACTAATGGCTCTGCATGCCACCTGTGGCATGTGTGCCATAGGTTCACCATCACGGGTATATACCATATTGTATATACTACACACACACACACACACACACACACACACACACTGTACAAAGAGAAAAAGTCCAGACATAACAAAAATAGAATATTCATCTTCTTTCTCACATCCTAGATTTTTTTACACCCAAGGAATAAGAACAATCAGTCTAATCCTGTAGTCTGAAGGATGACATTGTTCAGACATTAGTTTACCACTTTAGTAAAATCTGGATTACCTTTAGGTTAATGCCATATCTCTGAAAAAGAACATGTGTCTTTTTTTTCCTGCCAAGACGTAGAAGTCTCTCCAAAATATATTTCGTAATATGCATGCACATTGTAGAACAATTTTTTAGTACATCTGACCTTTTAACTGTTCTTCTGTTTCAAGCCTGATTTTGTTGATAGCTTCATCTCTTGAAATCTAGAATGCAAAATATCTATGTATTTATTAAATTTATCTTTTACCTTTCATCAATAGTGCTCAAGATGACAAAAGATATATACAAATTAAGAACAGAATCCACCAGTTCAAAATCACATCACAATCTTAAATGTCTTGATGAAGAATAATACAGACGCAGAAAACACTACTTCATTTGCAAGCAGTTCTAAAGCCTGTAGCAGACATAGAAAAGTCATTTTCATGTTTTCACTAGAGGAATATCTAAGAGTGGCAGGAAATTTCTCATGTACAAGAAACCATGTTCAGGATAAAAAAAAACTAGATGCAAATTTTATAATTACTTTAAACTTATTGCAGATGGACTAAGAGTTTCTGATCTTTGATGTGGACTAGGGTATTATTGCAAGCTTTTGAGTCAAGAGTCAGTAAACCATTAACTACAATCATGATTAAGTATCTAACAATATTATGAGACACCAGAAATAAATTGCAATTAAAAAATGGCTGAATCCATGGATGCCAAAATTCATGGATTTTGCACTCTCCTAAGATTTGGGTATTTTAAAATAATGTGGGGGGGATTTGTTTTTAATTTTATTTATTAAATTTATATGGTAAATAGACTATGGATAACTTGGAGTATCTTTGCAGACAACAGTGGTCCATGGACCATAGCCTAGGACCCATTGACATTTATAGGTGGGAGTAGTCCTCCTTCATAAGAAAAGTGAACTAATACTTTACCCATTTGTTAATACTTTCTTTTCTCATAAACATAGATCTTAAATTCTTGCTGCTACATGCGGCTTTGCTAAAGAATTGCTGCCAGATGTTATACCAATTCAATTTTTACACTGCCCAACTCCCAGTGATTCTGTGTTTTGAATCATCTTTTGACTCTTGTATCAAGATCAGTACATAATCCTACTGGGATGCCCAAAAAAAATCTGGAAGGGACTCTGCTGCAACTGATTATATGAATGCAAATACTTACTTTATCATGTGTGAAGTCTGAAAATACTGCTGTGACTTTTTCAGATGCAAGTCTTTGCAGAGGTGGAGGAAGAAGTGTGGAAAAATAAGGAAACAATGTAGTAAGTTCATACTTTAATAAATTCATATTGTATATGTTGAATTTTCTTTCAGCTTTGAAAGAGTAAGCCCTCAAACCTAAAAAAACTTTGGTTTAGTGAAGTTTGCTTTTAATTTACAAAATATTCTGAAGTGAATCTTATTTAATTGCAGGTGATAACAAACTTCATCTCAAAAATTGTACGGTGTGCACCTGCCAGTCATTTAGTACATTTACACATTTAGTAAAGCAGTCTAGATTATGTATGCTACTTCCACTCAAAATGAGTATTCAGTATCGAGTAGATTTTCTTATGTGCTTTGGTCTCAAAAAGACCCATTTGCCATTTAATAATGGCAAATTTACCAAGCACCCTATCTCATCATCAATCTATTTAATCAGTTTTCCTGTAGAATAATCCAGCAAGTATCCAAATACCTAAGCACAAAATGAAGACTAATAACATCTATTATATGTATTTGAAGTCCAAAAAATATCAATTTAGCAAACAAAATCTTCCCAATGTTGAGGACACAATTTAGAATGTTAGCTTCATCCTTTGAAATTAGGAAAGAGGCCAGGACAGACATTTAAGTAAATGAACTGGTTTTGATAACAACTTTCAGGTGCAGTATACTCTAAGCCATGGGTCCCCAATTCCTGGCCTGCGGTCCACTACTGGGACCTGACCTGTTTGGAACTGTGCACGTGCGTCGCACATGTTATGCACACGTGTGCATAACTCAACTTGCACGACCAGGAGGACAGTGTGCGCAGCACAACTTGCACAAGTGGCAGGCTAATTTCCCTCTCCCGCCCCGCCAGGCCAAACCATTAAGGATGGGGACTGCTGCTCTAAGCAGCCCTCTGCTCCACATTTCTAAGCATGTTTTTAAATATTTCCAAAGTCACAAATCGGTATCTAAACTGGTTTGGGGGAATAAAGGAATATTAGCAAAAAAGAATGTAGATTTGGTAGAATCAACTTCAGGCTAGGAGACCAAGTAGAACTCTGAGCACAAAAGTGCTACCACTAGTTATCCGACTTAACATAATCTCATAGGTGTTAGGACATCCTTGAAAATGTTTTTATCAAGAATGTGATTAATTTAACTGAAAGAACATTAATGGTATACGTTTTACAACCCTATAAAGTACCTGCTTTACTAAAAAAAATTAAAAGGAGCTTGTATGATGTAGTAATATATTAAACACTACATGTACTTTCATTTTCTTCTAAGTTTGTTTTTCATTGAAACATTTTTTCTCTTTCATACCTGTAACATTTCTGCAAATTTTACATCTTCAGAATTTAACCTATCCAGTTCTACCTGTTTGTTAATTCAGTACCGTGTTTCTCCAACAATATGACCTCCCCCAATAGGAAGACCCAGCATGTTTTCTAGGCATAAAATGAAATTAAGCCCCTCCCCCCAAATTTAGGCCTATTTTAAAACATGCAAAATGGGGGGAAGGGCGGGGGGACTTGACGTTAGGAGCGCCCCGCGGGCAGCAATTCCTCACCACCAGCTGCTCCTAATGGGCGATCATGGCAGAGCACGGAGAGCTCCCTACTCCTGCCAAGCACCTTTGCAGCAGACCCAAGACCTTCAGCGCCTGCCACTGTTGATTTCCCTTCTGCCCATGCCGCTTCTGCATTTGGAGCTGCCGCTTCCACGTTTGGAGCGCTGCTGCTGTTTGGAGCTGCCGCTTCTGCATTTGGAGCTGCCATGTCTGCATTTGGAGCTGCCGCTTCCATGTTTGGAGCACTGCCGCTGTTTGGAGCGCCACCGCCATTTGGAGCACCACCGCCAGTCCAAACACAGCGGCAGCTCCAAACGCGGAAGTGGCAGTTCCAAACATGACAGCGGTGCTCCAAATGGCGGCGGCACTCCAAACACGGAAGCGGCAGCTCCAAACGTGCTCCAAATGGCAGCGGCACTCCAAACATGGAAGCGGCAGCTCCAAATGTGGCGGCGGAATGGGCAGAAGGGAAAGCAACAGTGGCGGGTGCCAAAGGTCTTGGGTCTACAACGAAGGTGTTTGGTGGGAGTAGGGAGATCTCTGCGCTTCGCCATGATCACCCATTAGGAGCGGCTGGTGGCGAGGCTGCCTGCGGGGTGCTCTAGATGAGGATGCAAGGGGGGGCATTAAGTCACCCCCGAAAAGACGGCCTAGTCGTTTTTTGGGGGCTCAAAAAAATATAAGACCCGGCCTTATTTTATGAGAAACACGGTATTCATATACAGGTGGTCCTCGAATTACAATCATAGCTGAGCCCAACATTTCTGTTAAGTGAGTATTGTCCTATTTATGATCTTTTTTGTCAGAGTTAAGTGAATCCCTACAGTAAAGTTAGTGACATGGTTGTTAATTGACTCTTGTTTCCCCACTGACTTTGTCAGAAGATCACAAAAAGTGATCATATGACCCTGGAACACTGCATCTGTGGTAAGTATTAGTCAGTTGCCAAGCATTTGAATTTTAATCACATGACTGCAGAGATGCTGCAATAGTTATAAATATGAAAAATTGTCATAAGTAACTTTTTTCAGTAATAACTTCGAACATTCACTAAACAAACTATTGTAAGTTGTGGACTACCTGTATAAAACAGGATTTGAAAAAAGAATAATATTTTTGTGCCACTTCAGTCATTTGACACTAGGCAGCATGTTTGGAATATGTGTGTAACAATTATGTACGTAGCTATAGTTTTTAAGTAAAAAAGAATACAAGAAGCCAATACACATTCAATTAAGGTTCTCTAGATGCTGGTGTCCACACTTACTGTTGTGCATATTTCACAATCTCTTCAGGGGTAGTGAATAACTTCTGGTCAGTTCTCTTTTTGACTCCTTTCTCTCTTACCAGCTGCTGTATGCCTTGAATAATCTGCTGAGTATGCTTCAAACCTACTTTGATGGCATGGCAGAAATCCTGTTGCAGGATGTTGTCGGCTGCAGCTTCCAGCATAACTATTGAATAAAATTGAGAAGTTGTTAATAATTCCAATAGCCTTCAATTTGAAATACATTAGCTGTCAACAAAATGTCTATGAAAAGGAAATGGCCAGCCTATATTATACAAATGGGACAATGGATTAAAATTCACACATATGAAGACTTGACTGCTTTGCTGTAAAGAAATCTATCCTATCCTATCACTTAGCTTTTTCTGCTTTAGTTTGGAAACACTACTTTAGAACTTTCCTCAAATAACTACAAGTTAAACTGAGTCACTGGGAAAAAGCAATAAATATCAGCAAAAAATGCTTAAGTCCACACTTCAGATAGCTAGCTTCCTTGCAAGATTTTTGTGACTCAGAAGTATTATTTTATTTAATGAATCTATATGGCTGCCCATCTTTATTTAATGAATGTATATGGTGCACCAGCTGTGTCCATTCCTGGATTACAAGGCCCTACACTCAAGTCACTCATGTCCTAGTTGCCTTCCACATTACTGTAACACATGGGGCTGCCATTGAAGAACACCCAGAAATTTCAGATGGTGCAAATTGTAGTACACATACCTCTACTCTGCACTACAATTCAAAATACACATTATTTCTATCATATAATTCTAATATGGGATTATAATTTCCAAAAACAAAATTTCATTTCTTTCAGTTTCTGTCAAAAAGTCCAAAAGTGATTTCCATGTAGAAGTAAAATTGTTCAGTCTATTTTTAATCAAAGGTAGGTAGTCCTCAACTTACCACAATTGGGACCAGAATTTCAGTTATAAATTGTGACAGTTATAAATCAAGATATGTATATTGCTGGACCTGATTTTATTACTCTTTTTATGGTGGACATGAAGCAAATCATGTGGTTGTATGTCCAAACCATGATGTAATTGTTAAGTGAATCATGTGGTTGTTAAAGACTATGAATGTAAGTCAGTTGGTGACCAAAATGTAGTTATGTGGTGTGCACGTGGGGGTGGGATGGGGTGGGGAAGAGAAGTGGGGAGGAAGAGATTTTATGACATCTAGAAGTGCTTTAGAGGCCATAAAGCATTTCTGAGGTTCTCATAAGTCCAAATATTCATTAATTAACCAGTTTCAAGTTAGGAACTACCTCTATATGCATTTCTGAACCACTTACCGATATGGTTCCGAGGGGCTCCAGAAACCACTAAATTCAAAGTACTAGAAGACATTTCTTTTCGAGTGGGATTAATAACAACTTCTCCATCAATCATTCCAACTCTTACAGCTCCTAAGAAGGTACTCCATAAATTAAGATATTTCATCAGTTATGCAAATCAAATGCCAATCAAACAATAAAATCAATTATTTGTGAACCTTTTCAATGTTTTTGAACCACAAAAATATACCTTAGATGTACTACTTATCAAATTTGCTGTTTAAAAGAATTTCTTTATTGAGCAAATATTTTAAAAGCTACATCACAAAAACAATTCCCAGTGTGCTTGTGTCTAATTCAGCAAAGGAAGGAAAGGAAATAAGGGAAAATTTGTCCTTGCTTAAACGAGAGGATATCAGAACAACAGTGAATATAACATATGAGAAAAGTTACTTCCCTGGTGCATCTCTGGCACTTGTTTACAATCAGATGTATGATAATTTAGAATGGGGAAACATAATCTCAAATGCTAGGACTGGAAGCAGTCATGAACTTTGACTGTGACTCCCAAAATTTAATAAAAGAAATATATCTGGTATATTTTTAAAAAACTAAATAATAGTTTAAATTATCATCTGTACTCACCAATAGGTCCATTCCATGGAATGTCTGATAATGCAAGAGCTGCGGAAGCTAAAAACAGTAAGGTTTATTATTTGAAACTGCTTATGGTATTTCACTATGTCTATCTATTCTACAGGGAAAAAAAGATTTAAAAAATTCATTACCTGCATTAATTGCCTGCACCTCAGGACTGTAGCTATCATCTACAGCTAAAAGATTACAAATGATCTAACAGAAAAAAAACAAGTAATACATTTTTAGTTAACAGTATTAAATTTCAATAACCTGGCAAATGGTTCAACACTGAGCAAGAATGTATCATGCCTCTTTGGTTGTTTAATGCATTTGTGGGAAAATGTATAAGGGATACTTTAAACAAGTTAGAGACATATTGTTTGAGAACATAAACACAACTTTTGTATTAGTTGACAACCCAAATGATATGCAGAAATATTACATAAATTGTAAAAACATTAAAGCAACATTCAGCAAAGATGGAGAAATAAGCAGATAATTTCAAGTACTTTTTCTTAGAGGAAAATCAGGTTTTACTAACAACATTGATACTGTCCAAAACACAATAAACTAGGATAAAATGCTGCATATTTTCACTCTTATGATTAGGCTTATTTCTTCTTTCCTTTCCCTGATGTATCTATGCTGTTCTGAAATAGGAAGCATGTTAAAGAAAAATGCTCCTTTAAACTGAAATTGGTTTGGGAATGCATAAACAATCCACTAAATTTCCAAAGGTTTAGAAGGCACAAAGAAAAGGAAATTGTTCCTTGCCACTTCCAGCAAAAAAAGTAGTTCTCTAACAGAAAAACAAATTGGATTCTACATTAGTAAGTAGCTATTTAGCCCCAATATTGCACTGGTAACTAGACAGAAAATTAGAAGTGACCGAAGTAGCCTACCTGTGTATCATAATAATAGCCTGCTGGAAAAAGTGGTCGAATTGATCGATCTGCAAAAGATATTTTGAAGATGTTGTATAAAAAACCCCAGAAAATCAATTTATTTAAATATGTTCAGATCATCTATAAAGGTAGCAACCTTGCAATATGGCTTTTATAATAATTTTTCTTATTTTAATCAAGAGTTTTCCAGAAATAGGCTGGTTGCAACTATTTTTATGATCCACTATATGTGGATCTTCACAACCATTTACAACCATTCATTTAATGATTGTTTAAACTTACAGAGGCACTGAAAAAGTGACGACCATTTTTTCACCCTTTGACCATTTCACCATCCTTACAGCCACATGATCAAATTTCTGTCAGAGCACAGATGCATCCGCAGCATGGACTGGGCCTCACACACCCTCCTAAGGCACCCCATGCTCCTTATCTTGTTGCTGTTTCTCTGCTCTGATGCAGATTCCACCGGCCAAAATCAAGTATGCTAAAAAACTCCACATGCGCACCTACTTAGGAGCAACAGGAATTTGCTGGAATAGTTTGCAAAAGTGCCCCATGTCCAGCAAAGAAGCATGGGGTGGTGGTTGCTTTTTCCAAATATCTGGCTGCTGCTACATAGTGCCAACTTCTTCCACCTCCCTTCCAAAAACAGCCCTTATGCTTTTAGTATGGAAGGCAGGAAAGGCACAACAGAATAGGAGGGACCATGCGAGGAAAAGAAAAATAAAGTTCCCTCTTTCTTCTCCTCCAGTCTTTTTCTTTTCATCCTCTGGCTAGTCTCCCTCTCATTTGGAGAAAGTACATGACTAAATTTTTATCAAATGAAAATATCAGTGGTTTTAAATTCAAATTGCCACTGTAACTGAATTATGCTATTTATTAAATTTGTCACCCATTTCACCATCCAGTGACAGGATATGTAGTAATAGTATGCCAGGCAAAATGTACCAGTATTAGTTTGTTCTGACCATTACCTACCAAACCTTACAGTAGAAAATAATTAGCTATCCATCCATAAGCATTTGTTCTAAAACATATATAGTTCTCTTAAACAGATGCCCCAATGTTACATTAATAAACAAATATACTTACTCTGCACCTAATCAAATTTATATGGCCAACCATTTCACAAGATATATAATGAACTGAATATGAACCAATTCAGAACTGTCTCTACAACTTGTCTTTTAAAGAAAACCAAGACTTATAAAAAAAATACCTGATGTTTATACTGCATACCTATTAATCTGCTTGTAAGAATTTCATGATCTGTAACACCCAGTTCTCTTCTCAAGTAATTGGTAGGTATTCTTCCTACAGCAGCACCCTTTTGCCGATAGTCAACCTATGTAAGAAGCATTTTGTTTTGAATTTTTAAGACAAGGTGACACTTTATGTAATGAATCAGGAATAAACATTTCAGTTTATCTGGTCTATTCAGAACAATTTTTTCAATGCAGCATCTAAAAATCTTTGACAACTGTTCTGCATTATGACCAAAAGTTATACAAGTAGTCCTTGATCTACAACTGTTTAGTGACCATTTGAAGTTATAACTGCACTGAAAAGTTATGACCGTTTTACACTTATGATCACTGCAGCATCCCCATGATCATGTGATTTACATTTGAATACTTGACAAATAGTTCATATTGATGACAGTTGTAGTTTCCCGAGATTATGTAATCCCCTTTTGTGACCTTCTGACAAGCAAAGTCAATGAGGATGCAAGATTCATCATGGCAAAAAAAGTCATAAAATGCAGCAAAACTCACTTAAGAAATTCCTCACTTAGCAACATATATTTTGGGCTCAATTGTGGTTGTAAGTTAAGGACTATCTGTAGTATTATGCTTGGTATATAATATTTTAGAATTTATTAACATACATACCACCAAAGGCAGGAACTGAGATTGAGAAGTTTTTGTTTTACTGACCGCTGTCACCATCACTGCTGTTTCACCTAACTTAAGCATACAAAAAACAGAAGAAACAGAGATTAATCACGCTAGCTCTATTCACAGGATCCATTATATTTTAAGGATAAAAATTGAGGGGAAAAACCAGCCCACAAACTTTTCAAAGGTATGACCAAAAGTATACCTTAACCACAGCACAACCATCGGCAAATCTGGCTAGTTTTCCTGAAGATATTTCTAATTTCCTAGAAAAGAAAGCACATAAACATGTTTATGCTTAGTTAATCTTAGAATTCATTCACCTCAATCCAACATCTAATTCTATAGAAAATACTGAATGCCATAGAGAATTTAAAAACCATGGTGGCGCAGTGGTTAGAATGCAGTACTGCAGGCTACTTCTGCTGGCTGTCTGCAATTTGGCAGTTTGAATCTCACAGGCTCAAGGTTGACTCAGCCTTTCATTCTTCCCAGGTTGGTAAAATGAGGATTGTTGGGGGCCATATGCTGACTCTGTAAAACTGCTTAGAGAGGGCTGTGTCTAAATGCTACTGCTATTTCAAAATGGCAGGACAACATATACTGTGCTCCAATCCAGCCATAAGTAATTCTGCATAACTAAAATTAAAACACACACACACACACACAAACAACTCAGGGAGGAGATCAACCTGCACGTGGTCAGAACTACTTGAGATACTCCGAAAATTAATTATGCTTTGGAAAGATTATGGGGGGGGGGTTGGGTTATCATCCCCGCGCGTATCTTCCTCCTGGGAGAAAAAAGAGATCCCTTCCCTTGATTAGGACGCAAGCCCTCCCGTCTTTTCTTACTTGCTTCCAACATCCACAGTCGTCGCTATCGTGGTGGCAGAAGAGCCTGTGGTCGAACTCAACCGCATAAGGCGAAGGCAGCCGGGCCCCTTCAACCGAAGACCCGTAGGGCCTACTTCGCGGGAAGCGGCTATCACAGCACTCCCCACCGACTTCGTCCTCCATCTCAGCCACGAACGGCAAGCAGCACAGCAAGCAGCCATTAACGCTAAGAATCACCCGGCAAGGCGCTTGCTTCACATTAAGATACAGCTGATTGGCTCTGCGCAACAAACTCGGGTGCCATTGGCTGTTATGGCACGCACGTGCGGGGGTTAGCTGGAGGAGTTGAAGAATGGAAAGAAAGGGACAGATGGAGACGGGCGCTTCCCGCGGTTCAGTTTCGATTCCCAGAAGGGAGAAAGGACAGCGAAGAGGTGGTCGCTCGCCCTCTAGCGGTGGGAGTTTCATCGCAGTTTTAAAAGTTTCTACTCGAGCGAATTTCTCTTGCGCTTTTCCTGTTACGGGGAGGCTGGACAGAATCCGAGTTGGAGCCTTTTTGAGTAACATTTTAGGTTGGAAGACGGGATTGACCTATTTGGCACCTTTAAATGAATCCCGGATTAGATATGGAGACCACGTGTGAGAGAAAGATTTTAGAAGTGATTTGCTACCAGACACCTGGTCTAATATCTAAGCCAAGGTTCATTTAGAGCAGGGGTCTCCAACCTTGGTAACTTTAAGACTTGTGGACTTCAACTCCCAGAATTCCTCAGCCAGCTTTGTTGGAGACCCCTGGTTTAGAGGTACCAGGTAGCTCAATCCCATTTTCCAACCTAAAATGTTACTCAGAAAGTCTCCAATTCGGATGCGAGAGAGATTTTAGAAGTGATTTGTCTTTGTCTGCTTTCTAGGGCTGAGATCTAAAATCTCAGATTTTAGAAGTGATTTGCTATCAGAGTCCTGGGGCAAATTGCTTTAGCTGGGCAACTGTGATGGAGGCACCTGACTTAGCAGCAGTGATACAGGAAAGTGCCAGAGGTATAGTGCAGAGGATCAGTTCATTCTGCACTGGAAGACAGGTGAATGACTTTGGGATAGTCACTCTCTCTCAGCCCTAAGAAGCAGACAAAGACAAATCACTTCTAAAATCTGTATCTCTCATTTTTATATATTTTAGAAGTGATTTGTCTTTGTCTGCTTCCTGAGAGAGAATGACCTGCTCTTTATGCTTAAAGCAGGATTAGAATTCAACCTCTCCATATGGCTCAATTGGAGAGACTTGTTTAGTTTACTTTATTGTCATTGCACCTCATCCAACGAAATCAAACACCATCTTCAGTGTACATCATGACCATGACCATGAAAATAAACACAAACACATATCCTTCACCCTCCACACATTGAACGGAAAAATCCCGACACCGCACTACTACTGCACTATATGGCAGAATTCAAAAGAGCTACTGCCCTGGGATAGAAGTTGTTTTTCAGCCTATTTGTTCCTTGTTTTTATTATTCTGTACCATCTGCCAGAGGGTAATAGTTCAAAAAAGGGTTCCCAGGATGAGATGGATGTTTGAGAATGTTTTGAACTTTTTTTAGGCAGTGAGAGCTATAAAGCTCTTCCAAAGAGGGGAGAGGGCAACCAACGATCTTCTGGGCAATGAACGTTAACCCTCTGGAGTGCTTTCCTATCTGCCACTGTGCAATTGGCAAATCATACAGAGGTGCAGTATATTAAAATATTCTCTATGGTGCAGCTGTAGAAGGTCACCAGCAATTTTTCATTCAGTTGTTGTTTTCTGAGAAGTCTCAGGTAGTATAATCTCTGCTGGGCCCTTTTGACTGTGGAAGGGGAATTTCACGAAGGCAGTAGTGTCACAAAAAAACAGGAAAAGCCCAAGGGGAACATCAGGTCAGCCAGAAAACAAACTTACATAGGAAAAGGAATCAAATAAAAAAGTATTAAAGTATCCCTATAGACAAAAGCCTAAGTAATTAACAAAACTAGACAAATAGGAAAGGGAAACAAAAGATAATTTAGAAACTCTTACAAACACAGGACATACCAAATAAGCAAAACAAACAGACAAAAGACACAAAATATAAATTACAAAAGGGACAGACAGGAGATTGCCACAGAACAAATATGTAAAACTATCTAAAAGAGATTACAGAAAGCCAATAATACAATCTGGGCACCCCGTGGAGTTTGCCCTCCAATGGAAATAAAGACAAACTCAAACAGGATTTGAAACATTAGGCACAAATACAAACACTCACCCAAAATCAACTTACAAAGGGAGAAAAGGGTATAAAAAACCAGGGACTTACCATAAGAAGCTAGCTAGCCCAGGAACGCAGACTTCTCGCTGTTTTCCACCTTCCTGAAAAAAATAAAAAGATCCAACTTTCAAGCAGTTGTCCGTATCCTTGTGCCGGAGCTCTCCCAGCGGGAAAATCAAATCCTCGAAAGAAAGGCATTTTGACACCTTTCAACATGACCATTGCTGCAATGTGAGCACCCCAGGTCAGGTCCTCTTTTATGGTATCACCCAGAAACTTAAAACTGGCCACTTGCTCCACTTGGTCTCCATTGATAAGCAAGGGCTGGATGTCTGATCTGTTCCTTCTATAATCCACTATAAGATCCTTGGTCTTATTCGAGTTGAGGGCCAAGTTATTGTCTCCACACCACGAAAGCTCAGGTAGCAAAATAATTCAGACAGAGAAGCATAATGAAAACTTTCTGGGCTTTCAGATATAATTGTATTAGTACAAACTAATTATAGTGCATTATAGGTGCTCCAGTTGTTGTTACAGGTATCCTGAATTAACTATGCTTTTATTATACATTGCTTGTTTAATTTTATTTCCCTGAAGGAATACAGTGTGATGGTGGCTTGTTTGAACATCACTAATCAAAGTTGGATGTAATTACAAAGAAAATAGTAAACCCAGAAACACAAAATTATTTGTTTAAAGGGTGGGAGTGTCTTTGCGGTGGTGTTGGAGAAACAAAAGAATGATGTGCATTATGATATCACATGACTTGAATCAGCTGTCATAATACAGTTGACACAGATTACATAATTGTGAAAATTATGATGGTGATGATTATGATAATGTTGGCTATATCTTCATTTTGATGCCATAATAATTTCAAAGTAGCAGTCTGTTTGTGGCTTGGCTGGCCAGTTGCAAAATGGGAAGATTCTTGCTAAATATAAATTTCTTATAAAATCAAAAGATAGCTTCTATTATTTTATTATTCTATTATTCATATTCATTATACAGAGGGATATACATTACTGAAATAACCAAAAAGATGATTTATAGTAGACCATAAGGTCAAGAAGTATAGTGTTCAGGGGTGGGCTGCTGGGGGTTTTCAGAGGTTCGGGAGAGCCCCTAGCTAAGATTCTGTGCAGTTCGGAGAAACCCCCAAATCCCACTTCCGGCTGGCCCTGCCCACCCCACCCCGCCCCTCCTAGGAGTCCCCATGTGACCCATTTTGGATGCAGGTAAGTGCAGGGTGTGTGCACAGGCTCAGGGAGGGCGAAAAATGGGCCTCCTGGAAATTCGGGGAGTCTGGAAAGGGCCGATTTCCAGCTTCCAGAGAGCCTCTGGAGCCTGGGGTGGCAGTTTTCGCCTTCCAGGAGGCTCAAAGAAAACCTCCAGAGTCCAAGGAGGACAAAAATGCCCCCCACCATGGTGCAGGAGGCCAACTAGGCCACGCCCACCATGGCCATGCCCACCTAGCAACCAGGCAGAGAACCCTTTGCTAAAATTTTTGAAGCCCACCCCTGATAGTCTTGTATTCTGTAAAATCATATCTTCTATAATTTCTGTAAAACTCTAAAATTGATATAATATAGCATCAGTAACTAGTGATCTTAATGCATTGTGTTAAGTTTGAGCAATGAGAGGCTGAACCAGAGCATGAGTGCAACAGTACTTTATTTTACAAATAAAGGGCTGACCGTGCTTGCCAAGCCTGGAACTGGCTCGCAGCAATCAGCAGCCAGTTGGACCCCGCAGCCTGCTTTTATAGCTGGCTGCTGGGGAGAACTGACCAATGGGAATGGGGGGAAAACGCCCACACTAGTAAGTGGACCTGAGTGAGAACTCCTTGAGTCCTCAGGACATAACACATTCCTAAGTAATTTATTGTGGTAGCTTGCTTTTCAATTATTCTGAAAGTAGATTAAGGTGCATTTTTAACAAAATAACAGTGTTACATTTTAAAAGAGACAAATTATGTTTTTGTATATGAGTCAGTTTATAGCAATGACATACGTAGCTGTTCCCAACCTGGTCCATCAGGTGTCCTAATGGTATACCCAACACCACTGTAACTACTTTGCTGCTCTTTGTCTTCTTTCCTTCTACTTTCTTCAAGATTGGAGCTTTCTCCAGAGAGTTGGGTCTTCACATAATGCATCTGAAATAGGATATTTTGAACCTGGTCATTTGTGAGATTTATATAATCTTTTTGTATTTTCAGGAGTCACCCATATAGTATCATAGGATTGCTTGCACAATTCTGATGTTTCTACATACAGACACATTACAGCATCTTAATATCTTTTCCAAGGCCTTTATTCTACCAAGTGCTGGTCTGCAGTGTATTTAACTACTTGTTCCTTTACTATGAATGGTTGAATCTAAAAGGCAGAAGTCATCTACCACTTCACTGTCTCCATCATCACTTCTAATATTGGTTGCTATATGCAACCTTGTCTCATTTCTTTACCATTTGAAAGCCAGTCTGTTTACTATGTTCTGCTCCATGATCATCCTCATTCTTATTATAGCTGAGAATTTCCACCTCCTTTTATTTTATCGATAACATAGTGAATTTCATCTGTGTGTAATCAGTTAGGTGATGTCCATGCATAGTTTTTATTGTTGGAAGAAATAACAATGAAGAAATAATTGAATTGGCAGGAACTAATAATCATAGAATCATATGGCTGGAGTGGACCTTGGAAATCTAGACCAATTCCCTGCCAAAGGCAGGAATCCTTATACCATCCTGATAAGTTCTTCTTCATGTTCTTAGGCCTCACAGTTACATTTTGTCCTCTGATATTTCCAACTTTAGCATTCCAGTTTCAGACCACAAACACCACCTCATGCTTGTATATTCTGTTGATTTCAGATTGAACTTGACCATTACCCCTCTCAGCCTCCTCTGCACCAGTGGTTGCAGCATAAT